GTAGGGAGGGCTGTGCTAAGGAGCAGGCAAGGTGCACTTGGGTCTTTGCTGAGCAGCTGCCCATTAATTAATTGTGAGTTGTCAGATATTTAGAAATCTTGCTTGCCTACCTTGGGTTGACAGGGAGGGTGGTAGAGAAAATGGGTATACTTTGCCCCAGATTACCAACATCATTTCATAGATTTCACCTCCTTCTCAGCGTGGCTTGAGGCTGTGGGGTAGGCTTAATTAGATGTTACCAAATTCCTTCATCTGGGGAAGGCCTCCCTCCCCCAACATCAGTAGCTTCTTCCAGACTTTCATGCATTAGAAAATACAGAAATTAACAGCTTTGCTGATGCCTGGAAGGTAAACACGGAAACTGTGAGACTTGGCAGAGAGTACTATCAAGAGAAGCTGAAGCCTAGACTATTCAGAAACATTGTGCACTCCTCCCCCTCCCCGCCCCCACCAACCCCCTAGATCGTTGGGAATCCCTTCTGGAAGCAAAATGAAGTTGCCTGACAGTCTATAGAGACAGCCAGAGGGCCATTGCCAGGGCCCATCCATTCCCACTGCATGTGATCACATGACTAGGTCTCCTCTTTTTCCTGCTTGTAGGCCTTGCCCTGCTCAGTTGGACCAACCCCTGAAGATTTATGGTCCTAGTCATTGTGCATGAGGGTTACTCTGATGGCAAGGAAATGACTTGCTGTCCCAGTGCTCTGACTTATTGCTCAGAACAGCCCAGTGTCTTCTGTGGAAAATGAGAGCCCAAGAGAATGAAGAAAGGACAACAGAACTTGACCTAAGGGTCTGATTATTCACAATGAGATTTCTTCGAGACCAGCATCCCTAGGGTGTAATTGCATGAAATAGTCTACTACGTCTTGCTTTTAAAATCTTAACCCATTATAAAAAGGTTCACATTTTAGCTACCTCATACATGTTGAAATGTGTATGTAAATATTTTAAAATACAGTGCCAATGTGCGTCCAACGATGTTCAAACCTGGCTGTCCATTCAAAGGAGAAGCTTGTTGACATGCAACAGTCGCTGCCCACCCAAATGCTGACAATGTCTTAGGATGCCGGTGTGTACAAAAAACATTTATTTTTGTCTGAGTTTGGAAATACTGACTGTGTTTGTTCATTGGAGAAACAGCTTTAGTTTTTCTCTTAAATGGGACAGTACTGATGGGCTGATTGTGAACACTGTAGTTTGTTTTCTTCTTTGCAAGACAGCTTCACTGGCTTGGTCTTTCCTTGTCTTGTGAATAGTCAGGACAAAGCCCAGCCACCAGGCACTTCCTTTAGGAGCGCTGGCCCTTTAGGCTGATCTTGCCTGCCTTCCCCACCTTCCTTAGGGTGGATTTCTGTTCTGATGTTGTCATCAAGGATGGGCTGGGCTTCCTCCCACTCTCTCCCAGGAAGCAGAATGGTGTACCAGGGACCAAGTAGACTAAGCTCCAGTTCTGTGACCAGGCTGATCCAGGCCTCTGGGATCCACGTCATTCCCAAACTCTCTCCCCTCCCTATTGGAACGACATAGCCAGTATATCTTTCCTTATATTGGTAGAGCATAGAACACAGTGATGCTCTCCCTAGAACTAGAAAGTATTTGAAGGAATGAATGATCTAGGGTCACTGCTGTCTTTAATCAAATGCCTTTCTGAGGCTCTTGCTGCTGCATGCAGTGTTTCAGACACTAGGAATTAGAGGAGGTCAGCACATGCTGTGAAGGAGTGACAGCTTGACTGTGGGACAGAGACACAGCCAAAGCAAAGCAAAACAAAACAAAAGCAAATAAAAGTGAATTACAGCACAGGATGCTTTCCCCAGAGGACCAGCCGAAATTGGGTTGGCTGAGCACCCCCCACCCCTGCTGCCTGCCTCTATGACCATTAGAAAGGGCTCATCAGGTCTCCAAGTCTCCATCTTTAAAGTGGTTCTTCTTGCCTCCTACGATGATGTGAGATGTGGATAAGGCATCACAAACAGCGAGCCAGGAACTTGACAGGCACATTGAATCTAGCACTGTCTCTCTCTGCTTCCCCTATTGGGAGGATGTAGCCCTTCGAGATAAGAGCAGGAAGTGTTTAGTTTGTGGAAGGTTGTTGTGCAAACTTCTCACTGACCCAGGTTCTCAGATCTGCCCACATTAACCACTCTCCCCAAGTGCATTTTTTTCCTGTACTTCTTTCAGTTTTTAAAGGCTTTACCCAATATTGCGGTGACTCTGTACATAAGGGCCCTGAGTTAAAGGAAATGTTCAGTTAGTAAAGGTTTACCTTAGAAGACATTTGGTTGTTTGGTTTGGGCTATAATTCTCTACTTAGAGAAATTTGATAGTCACAGTTTCCATACAGTCATATATAAACCACAAAATAAAATGAGGTATTTATAATAGTCATTTTTTAGTGATTCTCACTTTGTTTTAAAAATTATTTCAGGGGCTGGGGAGTAGCTTGGTGGTCTAAGTGCCTGCCTGGAAGCACAAGGACTGGATTTGATCCTAGTACCTCATACCATGCTGTGCCAACCAATGAAACTGGGCATGGTGGTGCACTCCTGTAATCCCAGCACTGAGGAGGCTGAGACAGGAAGATCACTATGAGTCTGAACTGCATAGTGAGACCCTGTAACAAATAAAAAAACAAAAGATTTTTTTAAGTAAAAAAAAAAAAATTATTTCAAAGTTACTAGTACATTTGGTTGGAATTTTGTCAATTGCTTACTCTCATTTAATCATCTACAGGTTTGTACACCAGACTGGCTTTGACCCTATATTCTGAGTCTGGTTACACTCAAGCCTGCCACCTCTACCTATACCCATGTTCTAGAAGCTTCCATGAGCTCTGAGTTTTATTTCACATGAAAATGAATCTGCGCTGCATTAGAATTTAGTTTTGAGCATTTCCATCAGTCCTGCTGATATAGAGGAGGCAACGGCCACTCTGGCTTCTTCCTTTTCTTGACTCCACACAAGCGTCACAAGTCACTCTTTTAGCATCTTCCCTGGCTTTCGAGGGAATGACAGAGGCAGACTCTTGATATAAATTCTTCTACACAAAGGCAGTTTGCTTCTCCCCAGTGATCACCAGTTTCTACCTCCCGCCTGACATCCAGGTGTTTTTTGTTCTGCTCATTCTTATGCTTTATAAGTACTTTATAGCACTCTGGGAAGCCTCGGACTTTACATATTAACTCAACAGATTATTCCTCTGTGGTCATGTATAGCTTCCCTAATAGATGCTGTAGCATTATATGAATATTTTTAAAATTGTGTTTATAATGGCTCATTTACAGGTTAATACACTAGACTGCATTCAATTCAATATATA